GTTGTACTTCAGGAGAAGTCTACGAGCAATATTAACCCCGTCAATCAATAAACTAGATAAATTAATTAGACAATTTAGGTAGAAAACTCAATGGGATTGTTAGCTAACCCATAGCTCTAGAATATTTTCTCTCATTGAATTCGTCTTTAAGCTTGTCGTTGTTTTCTCTAATCTCTTAGTTTATTACTCTAGATTAGTTTTATTAAATATTCATACATTAGAAAAGTGCTTGAATAGATTAATTGTCTTAGTTTAATTTAGTAAATAGTTAATCACAAGTCCACGTGGGTACGATATCTGGACTTACAATCCTATATTACTTGTCGACCACGTATACTTGCGTGTGCGTTTGGGAGTAACAACAGTCATAAAAACCTACTACCAACAGAAAGCGAGACTGCGTGCCAATGCTACTGTTATGAACACTCTACACTACCTACTCTACTACCTTAAGCCTCGACCTCCATACCTTCCTATCTAGGGTCATGTCCTCGATCAGCTGAAGTTGCGTCATGTCTTGCCTAATCACCTCTCCCCACCTCTTCTTTGGCCTATCTCTACCTCTTCGTAGGCCCTCGAATGTTAACCTCTCACACCTCCTCACCAGGGCATCTGTGCTCCTCCTACTCACATGACCAAACCACCTAAGTCGCGCTTCCCGCATCTTGTCCTCAATAGGGGCCACACCAACCTTGTCGCGAATAACCTAATTATGATCCTATCTAACCTGGTGTGCACACACATCTATCTCAACATCCTCATCTCTGCTACCTTCATCTTCTGTAAATGAGCGATCTTGGCTGGCCAACACTCAGCCCCATACAACATCGTAGGTCTGACCACCACTCTATAGAACTTACCCTTAAGTTTTGGTGGCACCTTCTTATCACACAAAACATCGGACGCGAGTCTCCATTTCATCCATCCCTCCCCAAACGATGTGTGATATCTTCATTAACCTCCCCATCCCTCTGAATAATAGACCCAAGATACTTAATACTTCCTCTCCTAGGGATGACCTGCGAGTCCAGCCCCACCTCCCCTTCCCCTCCTTGAGTCTCGCCACTGAACTTACACTCCAAGTATTCTGTCTTGGTCTTGCTCAACTTGAAACCTTTAGATTCCAGGGTCTGCCTCCACACCTCTAATTGCACGTTCACACCGTCTCGCGTCTCGTCAATCAATGCAATATCATCTGCAAATAGCATGCACCACGACACTTCCCCTTGGATGTGGCACGTCAGTACGTCCATCGCCAGAGCAAACAATAAAAGGCTGAGTGCCGACCCCGGATGCAACCCCATCATAATCGGAAAATGGTCCGAATCACCACCCATCGTCCTCACTCGGGTCTTTACTCCATCATACATGTCCTTAATCAACTACCCAAAACCTCACAAAGACCCCAAAAAAGTTTCCCAAACAAAGTAACAAATGCTAACAAAAATACACTTATTGCCCACCCGAAAATGTACAAACATAGCACACTATCATGAAATTTCCATGTTCAAGTGAACCTTTAGTAGAATTGCACTTACATACCATGCGTGCTTTAATTTAGATGACTTATGTTCTACTGATTGCCTTTTTTCCTCTTGGTTTGCTTTTCTTCCAGTGAATGGATGCATCAACGATATATGCTCCATAGGTTACGATTACATGTATAGGAAGAAAGTAATTCAAACTAAAGAAAACTTCACATAATACTAGTGGAAGTTAAAGTATGATTTTTGGTAGATACGGCTTCTCCGGCAACCTTCTTATGTAAAAGTTAAATTAAAATAATAAATTTTGTACACAAAACATTCAAGGCAAGATCAAATCGTGAGTGACACGAAATTTTGCCTTTTTTTTTTCTTTAAAAGAAAGCTATTTAGTTATATGAAAGTTAAAACTCTATTAACGGTAAAACTATCCTAATCTTACATGTTCTCTTTGCAGGCAGAATTTTCCTCATTAATCTTGGAGGGTTCTATGCTATTAATAGATGATGATACACATAACTTAAATTTATTAAGAAGTAACTTATCAAAGAGAACCAATTTAATTTAACAATAATACATGCAAATAAAAATACACATCACAATAGAGGTTGAAAGGAGAGGAAGAAGAAGGAGAAAGAAAATAAAAGAGAGGAGATAAAAATATAACTTTTGATGGCTTGAAATTCTTTGGGTAGGCGAGATTCTTCAATGGAGGTTGAAAGGAGAGGAAGAAGAAAGAGAAAGGAAATGAAGGGGTGAAAAAAAGAAGTAAAAAAAACAAAACTAAAATTGTCCTATTTCGTATAATTCAGGGGTATTTTTTTTAATCTGTTTTAGAAAGAAAAAAAGGTTGGGGTAGGTGGGGATGGGTGTGACGGATGGATTTTTAAAAAGAGAAAAATATTTTTTGAAATAAAAAAATTCGAAAATTGTGTATGTTAGTGAAGGAGGGTAGAAATGACCCTTTTAGGTCACGATAGGGTACAAATGATGTCAACTTTTAACGGAGAGTAAAAATAGCCTTTTCGAATAGTTTTGGGACAATTTTGATCCTTTTCCGTATTAAAAATTAATGTGCAGTCTGGCAATGAGGTCTATCAAGTGCCAAACTTGAATACTATATTACAAAGCAATGGTGAGAATGAATATGAAGCAAGCTGCTTTTAACTACGACAAGAATATCTAGCATCTACTTTCATGTTTTTAGCTAAGAAACAACAAGGAAATTCATGTTTCTGTTGGCTAATTAGATAATAAACAGTCATCAGTAATGGATTTCTCTTCGATTGACACTTCGACAAGAAAATAATATCCCTTATACTTACTGTCTTTTTCTTTTTGCACTTTTCATTAATCAAACCGAAAGGGGCACACCACCATCAGCCTTCACTCCCCCTTTTCTTATAGGGAAATTACCAGCTATGTCTATTTATAAGTAGTTCATTATAAAAATTGGCCAATTGATAAAATATTAATAATATTAGCCAATTAGCTATTTATAGCAAAAAATATCAAATTTTTGCTTTGTTTTGAGTGGCTGTTATTAGAATAGATTGGGCACAACTTAAGGAGCTTGAATCTCAGTTTTGGGATGATTTGGTGAAGTTTTGAGGTGGTTTGAATTGAAAATTCGAAGTAAAAGCTGAACATGAAAAAAATGATATGTGTATCACACTGTGTATCACATATGTATCAATTGTGTATCACATGTATATCCATATATACCTGTATGTGTGATACATGCGTGATACATGTTTGATACATGTGTCGCAGAAGACTTTTTTGAACTCGATTTAATTACGAATTTTGATACAAAACCAGTCCAAATCACCTCCAATCTTCCTCAAATTTTGTATATTGACTTATCTATATATTTTTAATAAATTTCAACTATACCCGTTGAAAAAGTTCCTTTTTTGTTTAGATTTTTGGAATATTGTATAGATTTTTGTATTTCATCACCTTATTTGCTACCCCGTTCATGAAATTTCCTTTCCATCTTGTATGTAATGTTGCTAATCACGCTTAAAAATATGGAAGGTGATTTTTGCATGTGATTCTTTGAGAGAAAGAACCCTATTATTTGGTTTTTCAATTTTTGTTGGCTAGTTTTGGTAAGTCTATGACTAATGACTAGAAGTTAATAAGTTGAGATTTATTTGGGACATTTGTGTAAGTTTCCCTTTCTTATACACATTAACAGTTTGGTTAACTTTTATATTACTATGCATTTTTACCATTTACTTTATTTTTTATATTATCAAACCAAATTTATTAGATAATGTTATTTGCTATTGTAGGTCCTTATTTTAATCGAATAGTGTAAAAAAATTACACATGGCGGACATTTGAATGAGCGACGTGGTATTTGCTGCTGAATGGTATTGCAGTTGCGCCACATATATATGTCACTCAAGAATTCCTTTGCAATCAAGAATGAAATAAAGAATTGTTAAATTACTAGAATTCATTGTGAATCTTCAAGGAGTATGTATGTATCATAATTGGGGCACTAAATACCTCTTGTTAATTTGTTGCTTCATGTCTCTCAATTACAATATATTGAAAAACACCTATCTGCTGAAGCTATTCTTTTTATCAAAATACTGAAGTTTATTATATGTAACATACATATTTACGAAAAAAAATTGACGAATCGATGTCACGTAACACCACTTAAGATAAAGTGCCTACGCCCCTAGATAAGAGTCGTACACTTTTACGTAGATGTTTGAACTCGAATTTTGAAAATGATAAAAAAAGATATACTAATAAGGAACACTTTCCTTTTTAATGGATTTTAACGGCACATATTTAAATTAGTCGAAACTTCAATACTAACCCCGAATAGGGCCAAAAAAAAAAATATATACCCCTTAAAAAAACACGCAAGGACTGCCTTAAAAAATGTGGTTGCCTACCCAACTTAATGGCTGCCACATAAATGTATGTACTATATAAGTTTCCTAATTTATGAAGGAATCTCATCATTTGAAAAACAATAACAAAAGGAGGTTACCTTACTTCCAAGCAATGTCATTCTTTAGAAATCTATTTACTAGTTTTAGGTCAAATATCTTACATCATTGTCAAAATGTATTAACTTAATTTGCATGGCTCTTGGCAATAATTTTTCATTCTGTTGATCATTAGAAGAGTTAATTTATCTTGATATCACAGACATATTTTTTTGACTAATTTTTTTATCATGTTTAATTATTAATGAATAGAATTACTTAGTGTCTATGTTGATAAAACATAATAAATACATGGTGAAATAGTCGAGATATGTACTAGTCCATACACTGTTATTATGACATTAAAATATCATATGATTGCATAGCATTATTTGGCAGGATTAGCAATGATGTAACCCCATTTCAAATTATCATTTGTACACTATAGTAGTAATAATAAAGACCTTACTAGAATTAGGTCATGGATTAAAAAGTGGAAAGAAATAGAAAAGGGATTGTGACAAAAGCAGACAGATGAGAATCTTGAATATGGCTACCACCTAAATTTAACAATCCAAATATATAACATCAATATTTTAATGAACAAAATCACAAATATTATCCCTTCTTCTTCCTCCTCTCCTCCCATGTCTGAACTATTTTAGTACTTCTCTGACTTGTACAAGTAACTACTCTGTTCCTTATTTCTCTCTTCAGAAATCATCCCCCCCCCCCCCCCCCCCACAAAAAATAAGAGCCAAAAATTCAGGAAAAAATCATGTCTTCACCAAGCAAACGGAGAGAAATGGACTTGATGAAGCTGTGAGCTGTCTAACTAATTCTTTTTTGTGTATAAATTAAGTTTATTAATTTGGGATTATTATTTGGTTTAATTTATCAGTTTTGGTTTCTTGGATTAGGATGATGAGTGATTACAAGGTGGAAATGATCAATGATGGCATGCAAGAATTTTATGTGCATTTCCATGGACCTGCTGAAAGTAAATATCCATTCTTTTTAGCCTATATATTAAAAAATTAGCTCTTTGAGGTGTTTGCTATAAAGGGTCTTTGTTATTTGTTTATTTGGTTGGAATTATTTACTATATTTCTGATGAGTTCTTGTTCTCATGTCCAAAGGTAGTTTCTTTTGGTGTCTGTCTTGATTTTTTTTTAATTGAAATTCTTCAAGGCGAAATTAGACAAAGAAGTGAAATTGAAATAAGAAATACTTAGCATATTTAATGTGTAGTTGTGCTTTTTGGTTATGAATCTGCTTAAGTTTCTCTGTCAATCTGGAATTATTTTTGAGTCCTTATGTTGATGTTGGATGGGCGAACAAAGTCCTACATTGGTAGCTGAAAAGATTGTAAATCTACATTGGTGTGAGGGCTTTTGGGGAAAACTGCGTGTGAGACCCAAAACGGACAATATTACACCATGTTAAAGAGTATCATTAGGCTGTGTTTTTTCGCGTTTCTGCCGATTGGTAGCTCACTAATAAATCTTGAGGTTACATCTGCCGTTTAGTGGCATTTCAATTGGATGTATGAAGGGTTTG